AATCTCTCAGTGGAAAAGTTGATACAGCACAGTCCAGACACACTTGTGGATAGGACTGGGGGATGACCATTTTTGTGTCTCAATACTGGGATCACCAACAGAACTGGAGGATCCTTTACCCTCCAGCCTGGAGGTTTTTTTGTCGAAGTGGTTCCTCAGGGTCTGCACATCAGAGCACATGCAACCTCAATGTGTTCAGGAAAAGAGAACATCTCTCATGGACAGTCTTTGATGGGGATCTGTCCTTGTGCCCATAAGAATATCCCTTTCTTTCATGGGAAACCCTGAAGGAAAAGTCTTGGGGCTTAGTGAAGGTGCTGCTCCTGAGCACATAACTGGAGAAGCGCTACCCGTTTGGTGAGACCAATTTACAGGGAGTCTCCTTCATGACCTTCTCCATTGAGTATTTTCTAAGGTGAAGATCATGTGTTTTGTGACTTCTCAGTAGAAAGGAGTGACAAATGCTGCACTTTGTTGAAATGTGCGTCTCTCTCAGACAGCGAGGCAGAGTTAGTTGGTGTTCATTGCCGATGGAGAATGATCTGAGGCAGGAGAAACAGTTTTTGAAGTCTGGGAATGGGAAGGATTCCCTGGTCCAGGAAGCAAAAGCTGCACTCCCTACACTAAAACTAGAACCGTGTTAAGCTAAAAGAATAGCTATACATTTTAGTTATATATTCTCTAAAAACTGAAGAAAGAGAGGACACTGCACTCTGAGTCGGGCCATGCAGCAGTAAGAAGGGACTGAGGGGGCATTGACCACACTGCCTCTTGTACCCCTTTCTCAGAAGGACAAGGAGATTTACTGTACGGCTACGTCTAGACTGGCCCCTTCTTCGGAAGAGGCATGCTAATTTCGAACTTTGAAGTAGGAATAAGAGATCCTCCGGAATAGGGCTTTATTCCGGAGGATCGCGCCAGTCCGGACGCTCTTTTCCGGCTTTTCCCCAAGCTGGAAAAAAGTGGCGGGCATGTTTTTTTTAATCCCGGGGGGGCCCCCAAGCCGGAAAAAAGTGGCGGCCATGTTTATTTAAATCCCGGGGGGGCATATTTAAATCCCCCGCGGATTTCCCTATTCCAAAGTTCGAAATTAGCATGCCTCTTCTGAAGAAGGGGCCAGTCTAGACATAGCCTACATGTGTGTGGGCTCATGGCCACTGCTTGAGTCCAGACTCGAACAAATGGTGGGCATGTGTGGAACACACTTAAGGACTACCATTCTATGACCACATTTGTATTATAGTTCTCACTTGCACTGTCTTAGTACTGCTCTAGGCTCTGCCTCCTTCTAGCACATTAATGACCGTAACAGGCTGGAATCCTAGCCCAGTATCAGCACGTTGCAGGCATGTTCCAACTATGACCTCTTTTCATTAATCACAACCTCTTTCCTCACTACAATAGTGGCAAGGATGCTGTGTGGCATACCTGTACTTGTGTGCTGGCTGTGTGTTGTTGCTGAATCAGCTTTATACTAGGTAATTCTCCTAGGCCCATATTCATAGGTTTTGTGGGCAAGCCACATCACTGGGGTAATGTAAAATGGCCACATCCAACCAGAGGATCTAATTTCATAAGCACTGTATTTATTTGTCTAAGGCAAAATACAAATTTACATGTTAATTCTATGGTTACTTTTAATTCTTTGAAAGAGAATTAAAACATAAAGTTCTTTTTTATCCACATCTCTAAGCCCCATATTAATCCCCCCCGCCCCTCCCGCCACAAATGCCCTCTCCAATGCCATACACATTTTCAACCAATGATCAAGAACACTACGGCATGCTGCAAAAGAGAATAATAATTGCAAATAATATCCATTTGATTTATTATCAAAATTCCTTTTTCAATATGAATGTTTTACTAGCTCTAATGAAGACATTTTCCAATGAGTTACAAAGAGTATTATGTTCCTAAATCTTTGGCTATTATTATTAACTGTATAATTATATTGTTATTGCTAATTAGAATCAATCTTATACCAGGCAACTTACAGACTATAAATAGTAGTAGAATTTTCAAATGTGTCTAAGAGTATGTCTACACTGCAATGTAACCTGTGCTTCAGACCATGGTCAAGCTAATCCCCCTTGCCTCTACCCTGCAATTACTCTGTCCCAGAGTTCAGACCCATGGTCCCAGGACTTTGGAGGGCTGGAGGTTATGAGGTCAAGTTAAGCAGGACGTTAGTATCCAAGCCCTATTGCTTTTCATTGTAGTGGCTTTTCTCTGTCCCTGTTGACTCAGTTTCTGGGAGTCATCCAGAAGAATACCACAGTTCCATGGGAGAATTTCCCTATTAGTCCTCTCTATCCCAACTATCTGTAGTCTACTTTATTGAATACAGAAACCACTGTCCCCCATCCAGGCAAACGGCAGCAGCACAGGTCAGTGTTAGCCTAGTTAGTAAAGTTTTTCCATAGGGCACCACCTTACTAAGACTCAAGCAGTCACATTTCAGGCATGTGGGGGTCTGAGGATTCTGGGGTATCATTACTTTGACTTCGATATGTGTCCTTCAGTGTGAATGTCAGAGCCATGGATCCAAGCACAGATCAGAAAATTCGTACATAACACTCAGATCTAGGGTTCACTAATATGGGTCAGCTCACTTCAGAGCCAGTAACCCTAACCTTACATTGCAGTGCAGATATACCCTGAGCAATTTTGCGCAAGAGCCATTCTTCCTCTTTTTTTCAGGGAGAATGGCTCTTGTGCAAGAGGGATTTTTTGCACAAAAAGGAGCCATGTAAACAGAGCCTCATTCATTGTGCAAATGAGGCACAGCAATACTCCACGCTTTGCCTCATTTGCATATTTTTTGCGCAGAGTATACATAGCCTAGATGTTATGCTGTATAAAGATGGTCTTTCAAAATAGGGATATGCATGCCTTCTATTTTGCCACAGCAATTCCGGAACCATACTACTGCAATTCTGTTCACTACATCCTGCACACTGCTGAGAGTCACAGTCGTGCATAACAGGAGACAATTAATGGCCCTGCACACTTGTGTGATGAAAGCTGACACAGTGAATTTTCCAATGCCAAAATGATTCCCCTGTGCCTCTGAAAGTTCTGGTATCCCAACAGGCAGTGGTCACTTCTTGGGCCCATAAACAACACTTCACCATCTGCAGCTGCTGTACCCCCAACAACCTTGAACTGGTTCTTGCTATGTCCTACAGCAATCTGTCTTCCAAAAATTGTCATGTCCTCTGCTGATGTGGTTCTGAAACTGTCAAATGATCGTGTGTTCTGTGCTTGCAGTGCTCACAACCATAGTGCAGAGCTCTTCAGGCTCCGTGAACAGCGAGGACAGCTGCATGGGTTTGTGGGATTTTGAAGAGAGGCACTGAAATTATGGCATATAGATGATAATATGTGATGGAGACAATTGCACACTGGGAAGCTGATCCCTTGCTTACAGTCATGACCGTTTCATGACCCATTTCTGCACCACCATGCATTGCCAAACTTCTCAAAAGATAGTGTTCTGAATGGAGGGGGAGGAGGGACAGGTTTCACACTGGGATACCTATATATGGTGCATTGCACTGTGCACCGACAGAAGCACTGCTGGTGAGTATGTGCACTGGCAATGCAAGGAGCCAAGCACACAAGTGATACACTAATTATGAGGGATTTATGACGACACAATTTGCACTGAACAAAGTTTGTAATGTAGACATAGACTGAAAGTACAAGGCTCTCAGATTTCCAGTGACAGATGTTCCACAACAGTTGGTGACAAATCGGATTATTTAGATGGTTTTAACTAACGTGCTCACAATAGGTGATTTTTTAACAGTTCTGAGGAAGACATTTTTAAATACTAGACTCGGCTGTTGTATATGTAAGGTTTGAAAACTTGCTGTGAAAGAACGACATGGCAATGGTGGTGCTTACATTATTTTTCTTCACACATGTTTTTCAGTCACTATCTCCCCTATCTACAGTACTATGGGTATTAATTGAACTCTTCCTCCACACACATGAGCTCAGATAATAACTCCCATCTTTTAGCATGGCTTTTATTGGATGATTCCAGAAAATTTATCGTGCATATAGTTAATTTTTATGTAAACACCAAAGGCACAATAAGACACAAAAGTGCAACATGCATATTGGTCTCAGACTGATAAATTTTCGCATTTGTTTGTTTTATATGGTTAAACAGGATGCATCTTTGTGACTAAAGGATATTATAAGATCAGCTATTTGAGGAATGTGGGATAATTGGATTCCCATTTTCCATGTGGATTGGGTGCAGATGGACTGGATGAATCAAAAAACAATACTGTGGGGCTACATTACATATATTAAAATTCTGCATAAATAAGGTACAACTGTTTTAAAAGTCCCTGGACAAGTATCCTGATTATTGTTTTATGACGGAACCCCATTAAGGTAAGATCATTAATTATATTTCTATAAAGGGAAAAATTGCCAGTACTCAATATTTAAAATGCTTTACCTGGCAGAAAATAAATGGACCAACAGTAGTGCAGAGAGTTGTTTTGGTATGAGGGTAGCCATGACAACTATTAATAAATGTCCTGATTTTTGTTCATTTCTGTATCTTATTTTTACCTAACCTGAATCCAAAAATATGCTCTGATTGTTTTCTATTCTGTAGGTATTAAGGATAACTAGACTTCCTTGTCTCTTCAGCTCACAGATAAGAGATCATGGCACTCCAGAAAAAGCATGATCTTTCTCTGTTCCATATTAGAGATACTTTTGTCTGGTCAGTTTCCTGAAACATTATGGATCCTACAGTATGCCTCGTCTATTAATGGAAAAACTACTGAAACTTTGCTCACCTTGAGAAATAAGCTCTTAGGAATGGTCCTTGTTCCTCCAAATTGCTATAGCATATGAAATAGGATATGAAGTAGAATGTGACTTTATCGTAACTACTTACCCCTGAACACACAAAACACACCACCACTACTACAATCAGTACAACAACACTGACAAAAAAAAGAGTTACTTACATTGAGTGAGGATCCCTGTTAAGGCATTTTTAAAACTCTCCTTGGCTTGTTCCATTTCTTGCTCATGAGTCGCTTTCTCATTCATAAGTCGGCGAACATGACTATTTGCTGACTGCACCATTGAATAGAATTGATTTGCGGAGCGACGATTCACCTCGCCTCGCTCAATCCATGTAAGCAGCACCGTGATGGCCTCTGAAAATTTGCTGTCATCTAGAACAGTCAAACCACAGATTTTAAATTATGGATAAAAATACCCCATAAAGGATTACAATGTCTGCTCTATGCCACATTAAAATCCTCATCAGTTATGCTTACACTGTATGCTTTTGGGTTATACTTTTGAGGTTTATTGTTCCATCACATCTGGGAGCTGATACTTTCATATGAATCTCCATAAATTGTCGTCCAAAGCCTGTTCTTCCAGTTGTTATAATCATTTTCTTGGAAAAAAAAGTGTCCTGAATTTTCACACGCATTAAAGAAATGGGTAGTGAAGGGAGGGGGAAGGTGAGGTGCTAGATGTATTAAACTTTGGGGACCTAAGATCCAGAGAGGTGCAATTGATTTGCCTGCTGTCATGCAGCAGGTCGGTAGCAGATTTATGAGTAAACCCTATGTTTCAGGTCTTTTAGTTCAGCTCCCGATTCACTGAACCATGCTGTCACCTACAACAGCTGGATTCAACCTCTACCAGCTGGGGATAGACATTTTGCATTTCAGAGATACTCAGAAATCCACAGAATAAAGCATTACAATGTCCTATTTTTGCATTTTGTTGTGTATGTGTTGGGACTTTGCATCCACTCATGACGATATCATACCCTCATTCTCTTTCACTTGTTTTGTGGCCACTGAGAAGGAAAAAAAATGGGGGTCATCTCTTTTCCTGTCCCACTCTTGTTCCACCTACCAGTTCTTCCTGACACACATACATTAGCAATTAGTTCACTCTCATGATGTAAACCTTGAAAGAAGTTTTTATATATTCTGAAATAGCTTTGATTCAGCTCAGAAACCACTGGGTTGATGACCTCTGAGCTAGGATGAAAACCAGATCCCACTCAAATCAGTGGGAGTTTTGCCAGTGACTTCAACAAAACTACAATTCCACCTCTACAGCATAGTGCTTATTTTAATTACAATATAGCCAATAGAAAATAGCCTCTAATGGTTTCTATACATGATAGCATGCCTAGTCTTAAAATCTGATTACACAATAAAGGAACTTCATGAAGCCAGGTGATTTTGTGGACAACACTAGCTTGTTAACTTTGGAAATACAGCTGATACTGAACATAAGGAAAATAAAGGTGAACAGAATAGATCCTTCTCCTTTTTCTTTGTAGATATAAGCATATCTTACCCCTCATAATTTAGCATTCAGGAGAGATCCAGTACTAAAGTAGCATAGAGAATAAATTATCATAGCCTTGCAGGAGGAATAACGGTAGTTCGAATTAGGAGCTTTAATTTGAACTACCTAGTCCGTGCTGCGTTTAGCCACGGGCAGGGAGTTCGAACTATGGGGCATTTAAAAATGGCGGCACTCGGGAACATGCAAATAAAGCCCGGGATATTTAAATCCCAGGCTTCATTTGCAAGTTCGAATGCCTACATTAGCCACCCTAGTTCGAACTAGGGTGGCAGTATAGACATACCCAAAGATATTAATAAACATACCATCTTTCTGTCAAGCAGTTTCAATTGATTAACTATCCTGCCCCCTCACTCCTATATTTACTGAAAGCCTATTTTAATGTGTCCTGGTTGCAGTAAGCTGAAGGGGCCTGCTAATGGATGGCTCTTCACAAACAGAAAATAAATTTTCAGTATTAAACATGAGAAACTTTACTGGTCACATAATTAAGTGATATATTTTTCTAATGAATTAACAAATGATACAGGGTCATAAATTCACAGCAGAACTACATTAGTCAATGATAGGGTAGGAATGGTGTTCCTAATCTTTATTTTTCTGGAGGTGGGTGACAGGGGAGGGATCACGTGAGGATTGCTTGTTGTGATCCCTCCCTCTGGGGCATCTGGTATTGGCCACTGTCAACAGACCGGATGCTGGGCTGGACGGACTGTTAGTCTGCCCCAGTATGGCCGTTCTTATGTTCTGTACATGTTCTAAAATTCCTAATTTCATCTTCATTCCTAACTTTTAACTCTATAATTCCACTACCAAGTTACTGTCAAATTGAAACTCTAATTTCATTACTGTAAAATCTCCAGTATAATGCGCACGGATGTATAATGTGCACTTTGAAGTCTTATCACAATGGAAAAATCTAGACTCCTATATATAATGCGCACCTATGAAATGAACCTGTAAATAGCCCCCACACCAGGGAGCTCCCCCTCTCCTCCGCACAGAAACTTTCCTGCTGCAGTGCAGTGCGGGGGCCGCCGCTCCGCCAGGCTCCTGGACAAGGCAAGGAGCCGGCGGCACCGTCAGGCTGCAGCACCCTAGCTTGCTGCGTGTCTGGTGCTCCTTCAGGCTGCACCCAGGGACCCCTGCGGCAGGCGTGAGCTCAGCGTGGCATGGGGGCAGCTGTCCGGGGAAGCGGGGGTCAGGCTACGGGTGCGTTTCCCAGGTGAGCCTGCAGGTGGGAGCGGCGCGTCCCTCCCTCCTGCTCTCCTGCAGCCTGGTGCCGGCTCCGGGAAGCAGGTGAGGCTGGGCTTGGTGCTGGCGGCACCGCAAGCTCCTCACCTTGTCCGGGAGCCTGGCAGGGCGGCGGCCCCCGCACTGCCGCGGGAAAGTTTCTGTGTGGAGGAGAGGGGGAGTTCCCCGGCCAGGGGCTACTTACAGGTTCATCGGCTTAAAACTTACAAAAATAACTCCTACATATAATGCACACCCCAGCATTGACCCCCCCAAAAATCGTGAAAAAAGTGTGCATTATACTCGAGATTTTACGGTACCTGTCCTGGTGATCTTGTGGCACGGGGCATTGGCAGCATGATATGCTACACAGGGCCCAGTCACTCCGGGGGACAAACAGAGCCCTGGAAGGTAGGACCAGCCTGGCGGCGGGATGGCAGCCTGTCACAAGTCACAAGTCGTGTATACAGACTCATGGAACGTGTTCTCTTGGATACAGCTCTGCCCATAGACACTCGGGTTTTTTCTCCTTTTGGTGTTTTCTTGCCCTGTGTCCAGATTCTGCTCTCGGAAACTGGAGTGAATCCGGTATAATGTGCATCCCGACTTTGACCCCCCAAAAATCAGGAGAAAAAGTGCGCAGTATACTCAAGATTTTACGGTAATTTTCTTCATCCAGAACACAATGTAACTCTTTCTGAGCCATCCCCAGTTCATTTGGAGAACTATCTTTCAATACCTTATTCAGTAGAAAGTTTTCTCTATCAGAGAAAACAAAAACAAGAGAATCTAATTTAAACAGGGTTTGGATTGCAGTCTTTTTAAAACCATTCATTTAGACAAGTATCACTTGAGATACAGCAATAAAAATACAGTACACTGTTTAAATGCATGCTTCTTTACATAACTGGTCCATCAAAATGTACTATATATTGAAGCATTTTCTTGCACTTACATGCCGTCTCCGAAGTTAAAGTGTGTTTTAGACAAATTATACCTCTGACGACAGTACATCATTTACACAAACCTACACAGTACTTATGCACAGACTGCTGGGCATTCAGTTGTATTGAAGGTAGAGATGTGTATCTTTTAACTCAGGGGTGGGGAACCTCTGGCCATGGGCTGCATGCGCTTCATCAGAATTAGCTGCTGGCGGGCTGCAAAATGGTTTGTTTATTGAGTGTCTGCAGGCACAGAGCCTTGCAGCTCACGGCTGGCCTGATTCAACATTCCCAGCCAATGGGTGCTGTGAGAAGCGGTAGGCTGGCCTGTAGGTTCCCCACCCCAGTTTAGTCTTCTGATGTCAGCTAGCCAGGTGTCAATTGCTAGAAATGTGTAAGTACCTTTTTTTGGAATCAATCATTCAGGTCTTCAAAGAGGAGGTATTTTAAAATTCTTTTTAATGTCTCATGAAAATAGCTGGCACTTACATCCTAGTTTAAAGGCGAGAGGATAGGGAAAATAAAGAACAGAAAATGCTTCCTCCGAGCTGACTAGAACATTTCCACAACCGATATTTCTATGAAAAATGGTAATTTTGATGAACATTTTTACAAATTATTTCTTGGTTTTGATCAGTTCTAAACATTCCCTAAACTTCCCCATCAGCTACAGGCACCCATTGGCAGCAGGTCTCCTGTTCTTTGCGAACAGATTTCTCCCCAGACCTGACAAACTCACTACAATATGTCTCACAGGATATTTGTATATAAAGAGTAACATGTAATCATATATATAATAGCCCAATGTTTGTGACTCTGTAACGCTGAAATACTGGCTATCCCCCCGGGGTATGTTCCTCCTGCAAGGAGGTTTAACAGTAGTTTGAATTAGGGGCTTTAATTCAAACTACTGCCTCCCTGCCCCATGTAGCCGCGGGCAGTTAGTCCAGACTAGTGAAATTTCAAAATGGCGACCAGGCGGGAAGATGCAAATAAAGCTCGGGATATTTAAATCCCGGGCTTCATTTGCAACTTCGAATGCCTACATTAGCCTCCCTAGTTCAAAGTAGGGGGCTAGTGTAGACATACCCTCTGGGTGGCGCTGTTGCCTCCCTGGCTGTTCCCTCTGGGCAGCGCTGTTCCCTGAGTCACATCCTTCACCTCCCGCCGTGGCGCTCGGCTGACTTCTGCGCTGCTCAGCCGGGCCGTCGCGGGGGAGCAAGTGGCGGAAGCAGCCATTTGGGCTCCCTGCTCCCCATGTGGTGGGGGTGCTGCATGGGGAGCGCAGGCCCCAAACGGCCGCTTACGCCGCTTGCTCCCCCGTGGCGGCCTGGTTGAGCGGCGCAGAAGTCAGCTGAGCACCATGGCGGGAGGAGAAGGGAGGCGGGGCCCTGCGGCCAGGGGGCGCGGCCTGGAGCCACTGTCACACCGCACGTCACCGCCCTGCCCCCCCTCATCTCCCAC